AAAAAAAAAAAAAAAAAAAAAGGGCGATGGCCTTGAGGTATTATCATCGGACTAACCAGCCCAGGTAAATTCAATCTTGTGTCTAATCTGACAACGGTGGCCTTTTCAGCCCAGGGTGGCCTGATAGCCTTCAGGGATCAAGTCTGATTTCAAACGCATGTACAACACAAAAATAAAAACTAAAAAAAAAATGCACGCAAGACACGCCTAGGCTAGTAGGCTCCCATCACATAAAGCACCAGGTTTGTATAGCGAGCCAGTGGAGTTTTTCAAGGAGCGTGTGACGCTATTGGCCCCATAAATGGCAGCAGCCTATAATGAGTGACCCAGCCACACAGGGTCCCGGAGAATTTTGCAGCAGCTTATACTGTCTTTGTATACAAAAAGGGAAGTAAGGAAGAGGTGAAAAACAGGAAGTCGGTGTCCATTTACCACTCAGGCCACAAGATCTGGTTGAGGGTCCTTGCTGATAGATTAGTGGTGGTGAACCGCAAAGACAAATAGCCGACAGCATCTTGACGGCTAGACCGTCCTTGAATTGACAGAGGATCAGCGGGTATCTCCCTGGTTTTCTGAGGGTGAGGTGGCAGTTTCTGGACGAGGGAACGAGGAGAGGGTTCGGCAGTACATTTAGGGTAATGATTAGAATGCTGTTGGAATCTCATGCGATCGAAACAACTAGATCCATTAGGCAAGGCTTCCCAATGGCACCCGCGCTGTACATTATGTACGTAGAGCATCTTCACAAGACGATAGGGGTCAACAAGGATATCAAAGGTGTCGAGCTGAAGTCTGGGGACCGCATCAAATCAACAGCATTTGCTGCGATGCAGGGGCAGTGATCGGGACCTCCATCATAGAGCTGGATGCAGTCAAGCAGGTTACTACAAGGTGTGAACATAATCCAGGTGCATGGATTAATTGGCAGAAATCAGTGGCCATCACACCAAAGGGCTTCCAAAGGCCRCCGTGCTGGGGCATCCAAACACAGTGGATGAGGGAAAGAATGACGTACCTCAGAATCTGCCTGGCAGCCCAAGCAGCAGGCCCAATGCAGATGGACGAACGACGAGATGGGGGAAGGGGGTGCACATGGGCATAAGGGGACGTGCAGTGATAGTGAATAATGCGGCTCTTCCAGTGTTGTGGTGTGTTGAGGCAATACATATGTCCAGAATGCGACTTTGAGTTTGCTTAGAGCTGCAGGGACCAGGCTTTTATGGTCAGGAAGACCAAGCACTGTCGAAACCCGAACAGAACGCCCGGTCATTATCACTGCATCTGGACCACAACTTGGCCCGAATGCAGCTATAATGACCGGGCGTTCTATTCGGGTGAAGACGGTAGCTCATTCGACCTAATTCAAATGGCGGTCTGGGCATCATAGACCCTTGAACACAATCTTCAAATCTGCAGAACTGCAGTGACAGCAAAAACTCCATCCCATGCTGTGTTGTTCACCTGTTTGTAGAACAGGCAGTTGTTGATGAGCCCTAAGAAGCGGACAGTCTGGGCAAGTAGCATGGCCATCATCGATATATCATACAACCAGAAAAGATCCACTGGTCTGTGATGGGGTAGAGACCTCCCTTGAATGGCGATAGCATGAGCGCCAGTGGTTAGGTTATTATGGCTGTGGTAACAGAGAGTCTCCCAGGTGTTGGCCCTTGGCGGGTGTGCTACCCTGTGGTCTGAGGGAGGGGGAACCCCGATGGCACATACTAGAAGTATTCATGGCCACTTTTGAGGGAGAGGTAGTGTGAAGGGTGCGTAATAAATAGGCAGTACAGGGGAGTAAAGTCTAGGGAGTTAAGATGCTCAGCTTCCCCTGGGCTGGGCTGGGCTGGTGGTGCCCCAAAGTCTGATCCTGGCTCCTTGAACCTGTGCAACCTTTCTTTTGGAAAATGGAGGGGGGGGGAAGGGCGGTGAAGCCTCTTTTCTGCCCGGCATTTCCGTATTACTTTCCTGTTTTTTTCCGAGGCACAGTGGAACCTACCCTATGTCGGCAACTGTTCTTGGATTTTTCCAGCAAAAACCAAGAAGACGAGGGCTAAACATATTGCCTGCGCGCCCCCCGATACACTCCCTTGCACCCACTGGGTAAAACCTGGCCACAGCTTCGGTGTGCACCAGGAAAACGTCCCTAGGCCCATGGCACACTAGTGATCTAACCACAGCAAACAGTTTATCCCATTTTGATCACCTGTGTGACAAAAGTGGGCACTGGGCTGGCCAGGATGCACCCATTGTTGTCGAGAGTGCAGAGCTCCGATAAGCGGGATTGAACAAGCAGCATGAACCAGGACACTGATAACTGCATAACAGAAAASGCAACAAGAAGCGAGATACGCTCAAATGGGAAACAGACAGACACAGTTAGACATTGCAATCGAAGATCGTGTGCCGAGAATGTGAGGCAGGTATTGAGAGTCTGAGACCGACAAGATGAAGACATCATTAGGAGGGCTCATTGCAGCCTTCCATCCACAGGCTGAAAGCAGCCATGCGATCAAAATGCTCTTCCTTGCCAATATAGAACAATCCCCATCCAGACTGGAAAACAGTAATGAGCACTCAATTTCAATCTGGCTTTCAACTATTACAAGCCGGTTTTCGACTGGTGAATCCGCTCCTGTCTGGCTCCAGTTCCCCTGCACAGCATTGCATTCTCCTCCTCCCAGGTGTCACCACCACCTCCTCTCCCAATATGGATAACAAGCCTGGTTATGCAGATCGGTCTCTTCAGCGATGGATCATACAGAATGGGTTGCACTTTTATCTCTTTAAACCACCACTACGTCCCAGCCTCTTTTTTCCGAAGCCCATTTCTGCCGCCCGCCAACTTTTGTCCAATCAGTGCCGACACCAAATCCAACCTTTTTGCGTGGTGCTGCCAGTCATTCCCGTTTGGTAGGCCCAGCCCAAAGAATACGGCACGTTAATGGCCATGTCGACACATAATAGCTGGGGATACGCACTGTTGGATTAACGCTTATCCTCTTCGCCATCCTGGGTTGCACAGACCGCATCTGCCATCACGCCCGAGAACTCACCTTGGCACAGGTATACAGGTGACTGTAAGTGATGACTGGGACAACGCAAAACATGTGCATGAACCCCTGAAACCCCTTACCAGCTATACATTCAGGAAAACACACACATGAGTACGCTTTTTTCCTTCTTTATTGAACCACGTGTTGTATTATCCATGCCATACCACATGGACACATGAGTCAGGACCAGATATGCTATTATGCAAGACATAGGGTCTCGCCGCACAGCACAGAAAACGCCAAAGACACAAGTGCATTTGCTCACAGAAGGTGGCCAAAGGCATTCATTACAAATTTGTAGTAAACGGATGAAACATTCCACTTGCTGTGGCAAGGTGCACTCGATGCGTTGTTCGCTTCGTATGCCGTGCAGCAAGGTTAATATGCATGAGCGCCTACACATCAAGACATGGTTACCACAGGATAGTACAAGACATAATTAGTCCAATGTCTCGTCTTTCTGGCATGAATTCACTAAAGCCAGACCTAGATTCGGCAAGGACTTCCGGAAATGGATTCCAAAGCTTCACAGCCCAGTGCATTATTCAGCAAAAGACCTGCACATCCTCGACATGGATACTTAAACCACCAGTACTTGGCTCAGGCATTCGTTTCCGCCTTGGTCCGGTACCAAAGCAAAATGGATGGCAGCGCCAGCCAAAAGAAAGATGTTCCGTTTCGTTTTCTTTAGGCACGCAGCGCATTCCCAGCATAGGAGAAAAGTGCCTCGAAAGTACTGGTGGCTTAGCAAAAAGTCTATTCACCATACAGGGTACCATAAAAGCAAACGAGGAGACGAGGGGTCAATGACACTTTTATTGGACTCTCACTGACTCATCAACTCGCTGACCCCTCACAGCCTGCAAAATCCCATATGGATGCTTTGTGTCGGAGTATACTTCAATCCCTGTTCCGAGTGAATAGCCAGCCAGGCAGGTAACAACAAAAGCAGCAAGGCTGAGGGAAGGCGGGTGGGCACAGGGGCAAGGAATGAAGCAGCAAGCCCAATAGCAGTCAGGCACAGGATCCAGGCGGGCAGGTAGGCAGGCAGGCAGCAAGGCAACCAAGCAATCAACCAGAGAAGGCAAGTGGACGAGCAGCTTGGCAACACAAGGTAAGCAGATGGGCGAGACAAAGCCGGCAGCAGTACAGGAGAGTGTGGTCAGGCGAGCAGGCAACAAGGCATGGACACAAAGCAAATGGATGGGCAGCCAGGTAGCATGGCAGCCCCCACAACGCAGCCCCCACAAACAAGATCATCAGCTAGCCACACCACAAGTAGAACTATATAGTCTGCAGGTTCATGCCAAAGTCAGAGTCAGAGAGCCCCTTTAGCAAATGTCTGTCATCACCACTGAATGAAGATGCACTGGCATCCCCAACACAGCACCCTAGTAGTGTTGCAGACTCTCCTAACAGACACACACCGACAATTTGGCATATCTTAAAGGTGCTGCACTTAGACAAAAGAACATAGGTAAAGGCCAAAGCATGCAGAAAGACCCCAACGTAAAGAAAATACTTAGACACAGGGGAAGAAGGGAAGCTACACAATATGTTTGTGCATGTACGTTGGCATGGTCGGTACATACGAATCCAAAAGGAAAACCCTACTTTGCCAGACTGTTTCATCACACTTCACCGACTCATTAGGAGGTTGAACCCCGACAGTCTACCCAGGATGCATTTAAGTTGATTTAACCGATGGATAAGGACTCACCACGCGACCCAGAATTAGTTAACGTTACTCACACCAATCCTGCAAACGTCGCAGACTGTCAGTCCAGACCCCTGACAAGACCGGCGCCAAGTTCAAGAAACTACCGGTAGTCTATCACAGCCATAAAAAATGCTCTACGTACCCACTCCGCCGGGAATACCCACTGCGTGTGCATTGTGTAAGATCACCAGCGATCAAAATCAGCTCCGTCCCAGAATGAATAAAGGGTAAGGGCTCGCCCTCCCCACAGCACTAATGTTCGACCTCACTGTCCCCTCCCCACAGCACTAATGTTCGACCTCACTGTCCTGATTTGTGCTGATGATTCATCTTTTTAAGCCCTAGTCAGAGCCACAGAAGCTTTCAGGCTGGCCTCGGAGACAAAAACTGGGCCAAGTTGGTGGCTAGCAGAGAGCACCCTCACCCAACCTCTACTCTCCCCCCAACTCTTGCCATGGTCTACTGGTGAACAGGCCCTTAGGTACCTGGGCATTATGGTCAACAAGGACGGCACTTCGCCATGAATGGGTCAAAACCTGATAACCAACACAATAACACGCCTTGCACCATGCAAGAATGCACAGGCAGCTTTGCTGGGGACATAAACACGTCAGTGTACTCCACCCTCTCGTATCCGGCATCCATCTGGTCACCTCCCAGGCTCCCACCAATTATCTCAAAACGCTTCGGACCGGAGTCAGGTGTTTCCTACGGACAGATGACCCCAACAGATCTACCTGCATCAACAAGGTGGCCTGGGAGTAGGTGATCAGAAAACCGCAAGAGGGAGTCTTGGGACTAGTAGACCCAAAACAGGAGTCGGCAGCATTACAAATGAAGTGGGCTATTATTACTTTATTAAGCTACTACTGAAACAGTACCTCTCATGGGTTAGATGGCCCTGGACAGCATTAGCAAGCTGACACCAATCAGCACCCCCAGTAACATGGCTGTTTTTTTTCTGGACCATGGCCAAGAAATGGACAATAAGAAAAGGCAGACCCGACAGAGACAACTAGCGCCCACGGAATCCTGAAGGCATGGCACAGATTAATGCCCAGCAAACATGGCTCACTGAGCAATAGGGAACAAGTACTCAGACAGCCTCGCTTCTGCAACCCCTGGCTGAAAACTGGAAATGACCTCTCCCTGTCCCTATCCAGAAAGGATCAGAGATGGCTCTCCTGGGTGGGAAAAGGAGTATGGCAGGTAAACCACATACATATGGTCAGAGGAACACAAGGGGCGGAAAACGGAGCAAGACACGCTCATATCTCCTGAAGTGATGCCACTTCCTAGCAGATAACCTAGCCCTCATTCCACGCAGTATTCCTCTACCCTGAGTGGATTTACTAACAGGGGAGTTCTCCTGGAAATCAGTGGTGTGGGGGCTACCGATCACACAACCAATGACAGCCAAAGCGTACCACTCATTGCGTTGAGTGGACACCACGAGCTCTCAATCGACGTTCATATCCTACCCTGTCTCAACCCACAATCCAAGGGAACTGGAGATCATAAATGAGAACCGCATCGAGGAAATCCCTGCGACGTTCCTACTCAGGAAAGTAAGGGGTGTCCCAGTGCGAGCCATGACTAATTTTCAAACCAGACATCAGCATCTTGGACCCCAAAGACTGGCACAGGATTCAGAGCGAATATGAAAAGACCAGACCAATCTACGAGTATGACATTAAATTCGGCTACAAACTGGGCCTACAGACAACAAACCCAAAACCAGAAATAATTTGGACCCCAATGCCGATTTCAAGATCCCGTAGAAAAAAATATGTATCCATAAAAACCACCAAAGTTCGGAGCATGCAATGGTTCTTAGTGTATGCAGCGCTGCCCATCAACCAGTGGCTCCACAAAAGAAGAAAACACTGCAACCCTGACAGCACTGAGCTGTGCGTCATGTGTTCTAACAATGCTCCTGAAGATCTAAAACACAGCCTACTCACCTGTCCCAAGGCCTGCTGGTTCTGGAATAAGATCCAAGGAACTTTGGGTCTCCCTCTTCTCCTCACCACACCCCCACTCCCCTATCTATCAGGCTACTGGCAAAAACTCCCCACCCTCTGAAGGGCAACAAGGCAATCTGGTTCCAACTACTCAGAAAGATGGCACTTTGGGAACGTTTGGAAACGCAGACGCACGCAGACGAGTGAGAAGGCAGCAGTGGCAAGGGAAGAGGCATCGGCCCTGATGATCAGAATGGTAGAAACCGAAATTCGTTGCAGGTGGCGCGCGGTGAAACCATCAGCGAAGCTCAAACCAGAGAAGTTGGCAATCAAGAAAAGAGCCTTCCATAGGGACCGGCTTGTCCAAGGCAAGTGCCTTCCATATGGACTGGCTTGTCCAAGGCATGGATTGTCAATGACACTTTTGAGGTGGAAGAATTAGCGCTCCCCAGGTCATCAGCCAACAGCCCACTGAAGGTCACGAGAAGAAGTGGAAACAGCTTATGGCTCACTTTTCGTTCAACTACACGTCCAGCTATCCCTTCAAGGGGCCAGATCCTGGACCCCAATAGTTCTAGCTTTGGATATACATATACAACAGTCTAGGCATGGCTGAGATTGAGAGGAACAAGAGGGACAGGCAAGCTGACAGTCAATCCTCCTTGTTCAGAGTAACCAGTGTGGTCAGGGATCTTTCGGCCAAGACGGAAGGCAGCATTGAGTGTGTCAATTTAATATTCAGTACTTACTCTTGGCCGTGGAAAGGAACCGAAGTGAAGCACCCCAGAATGGACAAGGAGCCGGAGGGAAGCACCCCAGAATGGACAAGGAGCCAGGGTCATAAGGTCCTGTTGTACGTATAAAATAAAAAAAATAAAAAAATAAAAAAAAGGTAGGCGAGTGCCCACACAGCCAGCTGCCATGCAATGGCACACTTGCACATTGCGAAAAAAGGGGGTCGGACAAAAAAACCAACCTGCACCCAATAACAGAAGTCACTACTCACAAGTCGATATATGTGGCCATAGTGGTCGTGTCTGTTCATATGCATGTGCAACACACATAAGCACATGTTCCTGTCTGTTCACGTGTAACAATACATGTACATATCTGTGTCTGAAAATATGTGTGTGATGATGCTGCGTGTGTGTGCGTATGTGTCAGATGAGTGTCTGCTCAGGCGCCATAACCCAGACCAGCTCAAAGAACATGGCTCCAGGAGGGGCTCACGACAGCTCACCACAGCCCATGGCCCACAACAGAGCTTACGGTCCACCGACGGAGAGAGAGAAAGACAGAGAGATTCAGAGGGCGATATGCGATAGGGCGCTGCACGGACCATAACGGGTGATACGCAACAGGGCGCTGCACAGATGATGATGGGCGATAAGCAACAGGGCACTGCACGGACGAAGACAACAGCCATGGGTGATAGCACGTGCATACAGCAACAAAGGTGCACCAAAAAGTCCTCCGCGTATGACAAAAACTGTTCCTCGTATGCCAGCGGCACCATCAAAACCCTAACGTTGAACGGACCCATGCCAAGAAACAGCCCACTGCAACTGGCGAATGGATACCCAAGTCAAAGGAGATCTGCGCCATCCGGCCCACGCTATCGGACCAACGGCCTGGATCGTCGCAATGTCCTTCACGTCGATCCAAGCCGCCGGTCCGGTAGAACCCAACGACCTGGATTTCGGTGCAGTCTTAAGATCTTACCACCGCGGTCATCCCGGCCGTCGGTCCGGTAGGACCCGACGGGACCGACGGCCCACATCTTAGATTTGTTACATAGTTCCGTCAATCTGGGCCACGGGCCGTAGGGAAGAAGAAAACACTCCACATCCATTCCACGGGCCGTAGGGAAGAAGAACACACTCCACATCCATTCCAAAGCCCAGAGCCACCGGGAAAAGAACACCTGCGCCGTGTCTTCTCTTTCTTCTCCACCAACCTTCCTTCCTCCCTCCCTCCTTACTTTCTTGATTCTCCTTCTCAATGATTTTTGTACTGGTTTTGCACCTCTTCTCATTCACTTGGCGTCACTATGTGCATATGTTCCTAACTATTCATATTTCCCGCCTCTTCTATCCTTCATTCTCCTCCCTCTCCTGTCACCTTTCTGCACTGAGATGAACTCCCACACCTGGCCACTCACCTTCCCCCCCTTTGCTGCATTGCTTAATGCCAGCCGCCGTCATCTGGGGCCAACAATCGGCACGAGCACCAGCCATCCTCTCCCAGGAGCATGTTTCACGTGGGTACCAGAACGTGCAGCTCCGGATCCGGATTGACCACCCTGCTGACAATGACAGCCACCGGCAAACCAAGAACGAACACCAGACAACCGCCCAGAACTCTTTGGACAGCAGAGAGACCTTTGTCGAGGGCGACTGCCCATTTACCTGCGTTCCACTTCGGTAAAAGGAACATTGCGCTCTTATCGTCACCCAATTCATCCTCTTCTCCGTCCTCTAAGTCATCCTCGCCATCATCATCATCAACACCGCCAGCCTGTTGGACAAGAGTACTGTCGATGCCAGGTCGAGGGTCATTGTCCCCAGTGTGGTCTTCGTTACTCCTCCAGTTAGTCCGAGTATCATCTGCACCAAGACCTTGCGGAAATTTCTGTGTCTGACCATTGTCCGGTTCCTGTTCAGCTGCAAACCCCAAAATATCCGAATGAGAAAAATCATTGCACTCCAAACTACAACCTTCCCCCAAAATATCCGAATGAGAAAAATCATTGCACTCCAAACTACGACCTTCCCCCAAAATATCCGAATGAGAAAAATCATTGCACTCCAAACTACGACCTTCCCATATCTTCCTCGCCACCACTGGCTCCGTTTCCGCAATGCATCCTTCGTCTTCCACCTCGTCCGCACCCTCTTTCGGCATACGTCTTGATGTGCTCCGCCGCCCGGCTTTGCTCGTCCTCCGCCTGCCTTTGCTGCTGCTGAGTTGCTCTTCGTGGCTCCCACTCGACGATCTCACAGTCAAAGACGACGATGGCCGGCAATCTGCTTCTTCCGAGTCTATTTTCCTTCTCACCACAGTGTCCACAGCGAGCCCCCCCCCTTCTCCTCCTCCTCTTCCTCCTGCTGCTGGTGCTGGTGCTGGTGCTGGTCCTTCTCTGCTCTCTCTCTCCGTAAGGTCAACATTCGGGTCCCAAGACAACGGTAGAAACCCAGGGCTGAACGCCCCACCATCCTCAACGCCCATCACCCCTTGCCTGCTGCCGCTGTGAGCACCGCCATTCGGACGTTCACCACTGCGTTCCCGTACCGCCCTCCTCTGCTTGTCATAGCTCCTCTCTCTGCTCGTCGCAGACTCAGAGCATTCTGCTCCTGAAAGATCAGATGATCTGCCTGTCTGAAAGGGTCGCTCTAAATCACCCTCCGGTTTAGCCATCTGCCAATGCCTGTTCCTTTCCAGCAGGCTGAGCGCACTGGTCTCGTCTGCCCCGACCAGAGACGGGAATACCTCACCTCTTCGCACTTCTCCTCCTCCTATTTCTCCCCATCTCTCACGTCCCTCTGCAACTCGATCCTCCTCRTACCCAATACAAAGACTCCTATTCGTGTCAGCGTTCTCTCTTTTCTTTAGCTCACCCTCAGGTCCCCCAGCTTGCAACTGCCAGCGAGCATCTGAGACAAGGGCCTGGCTGTCGTGACTAGGACGCGAAACCACAACGCGTGGATGGTTCCCAGCCTCATCAACAACAGAGTCCTGACCCTTACCATCACTATCACCTCTAGAGTCCCCACGCTTGCCGGACTCAACGGCATCCATTCCGAGACAGAGATTTTCGTGACGCTTGTTATGCGAAAGCAGAACACCTGAAGAATCCACGRACCTTGCAACATCATCTCCACTAATCGAGCAAGCGAGTACTCTGTTTCCCGCCTCTTCGTCCTCCACGCTTGCATTGCCGCTCCAACTACTTAACCGATTCCCGTCCCTTGTCTGCAGCTCGTCCATCCACCTGCTCGACTCCCCGATAATCTTTGCCCCTGCCACCCACTGTTCACGATCGAGCAATTCAGAGGCCTCCATATGGAGAGATTCGTCTGAAGCGATCGGGTTGTCGTGAATGTTCCAAGGACGTTTTTGCACATCTTCTACTTCCTCGCCTTCCTCCTCATCATCGTATCTTCCCTCTCTATTCTCTCCCGCTCTGAACGAGTCTCTAAGAGAGCTCAAAGACAAGCAATGACTAGGTGCAGGGGACTCGTCTCTGCTCCCCTCCATGACGTATCCTCCAGCGACGATGCCTTCTGCTCGGCTTCCTTCCCCCGCACTAAGGAGAAGCCTCGTACAAGTCAGCTTCAAGGGACTTCGTTCGCCTGACTTATCATGACCAAGAAATTCAGTCGGAGCACCTTCAATGTATTGCGGGCTTAGAGGCTGAGGCTCCAGGGGTACAGAAGGGGGCTGCGGTGGAGGCGGGCTCGACGGGGGCTGCTCTGGCCTCGACTCCGTGTCGCGGAGTAATACGCCACTGCTACCTTGTTCGCACGCCGGTGCGGACAAATCATCAACACCTCTTCCCTCTCGATACGAAGACTCCGCCCCCATCGACCCTGGCATTCTCTTCCTACTGCCACGGCTAGAAGAGCTGATGCTACTCCTGCTGCTGCTTCGGGTGGGCGCAGGAGCGCCAGCGACGAGGTCAAGGCCGAACTCAGGAGGAGAACCGACGCTGACAATTTTCTCCGTAATGGGGAAATAGATTTCACCGAAAGCTGTCGAACAGAGCAACGACCCACTGTCATTAATCGGCCCCATCGAATTCCCCACTTCAGCTGACAGAAGCACACCCCTTCCTATTCCTATCCCTCTACTCTTCACGCTCTCCTGTGCTCCCACCCTCGTCTGCCACTTCCCTTGATCGGTAGATCCCTCTCCTACTCCTGCTGCATCACAGAAAGTTCGAGTCGTGGACGAAACAGAACTTGGATAAGAGGATACGTTGGACGTGAAAAACGTAATCTCTTCTCCTATCCCCGTTCTCCCATCTTCCTGCGTGGCCGTTTGCCACTTCCCTTGATCGTCTATTTCAGGTCTTTCCCCTTGTGCTCCGCTCCCTCCTTGTGCTCCTCCCTCTGCCCCTCGAACATCGCAAGACGGAGGAGTCGCATATGCAGAAGTGGTTTGAGAAGTCCCGCTAGCGCTTTCGCTGCGCCTAGAGTCGCCACTCTCCATGTATCTAGAGAAGAGCGGTGCAGGGTCGTTCGGTGTATCTTGTAGAGAACGAATGACTTGGCGCGGAGTGATAGCTGGTATCTCGTCCAAGACATAGCTTAGGTTCCTCTTGGTAGCGCTATTTGCTCCTTTCTGCATGGCCCGGGTCGGCATCGGGACCCTCTTCTTCCCATCACCTTCACCCCCACTAGCACGGATCAGCCCGCCTTTCCCGCTACCAGCACCTTCGACTTCCCTCCCAGATCCGAAGCCTTCGATCAACATAGCAGCATCTTCAAATCCCTCCTCATCATCGATAAGACCGAAATCGGATGACCCTCCACTGCTGAGGACTCCGCTTCCGCCAGCTCTCTTTGCTAGCGCCTCTCTCAGAGCAGTGAGGGAATCGTCATCCCGGCCCTGCGACTTGGCAGGAGTTGGAGTCAGCAAGAACAACCCACCCGGAGTCCTCCCCTCATCCACCTCCTCACCACCCTCTTTGCCCGCCAGCAGTTCCAAGCTGCCCATCGACTCTTCCATCTCCTGCACTCCTCCGACCGTCACTGCATCCCCTATACTACCACCTACTCCCCCATTATTGGACTCCTCCCCTAGACCGTTGCTCAAGGTAACATCCAAATCGAATGCCACCCCTCCCTCGTTCTCTATACGACCACTCGCCATTTCGCCTTCCATTCCTCCTCCTCCATGATCCCCAGCCATGAGCACTACACCATCACTGCAACCTGCTGCTCCACGCATCTTCAACGATACATTACCTCCTGCCGTTTCCCGCCCATCTGAGGGCCAACCGGATTCCGTCCTCCCCCCAGCCTGTCTCATCAGCAATCCTTTCGCGCCAAAACTGTTACTACTGCCGACACCAGTATCCACCGTCGTAGTGACCGTAGTGGTCGTGGTAGTAACTTTCGTAACAAAAAAGGACACATCCACGTTATCAGGATCACTTACCTCCTCGGCGCGGGAACGTTTCCCTGAACCGGTTGGATGCTCCGTGACCAGGTTCACAGTTCCCGTCAAGGGGTCGATACTTGGGTCCCCCGCCGTCGAAGAGCTGTGACACTCCGCTCTCGTACCGTCACTCCTAATCTTTCGCACCCCCTCTGGCCTGGTTTCTACCCCGGTTTGATCCCCCTTCGCTTTGGCATTCCCGACTAACGCGGAACAATCTCGTTGTTTCTCTAAAGCAGTGCAGCCCGCACTCGACTGACTGCTATCGGAGAGAAGAAACGAATTCGCCAGCTTTAATGCTTCGACACAGAAACCTTCATCCAAGGTCGTAGAAGAGCTCACTCTCGCCCGTTTGCTTGATTCGACTTCAGCTCCCATCACGGTTGATTGTTCCGCCAAATCGGATGACACTGGTGCTCCACGACTACATCTGCGGCTGCCGCTAAGTTTGCTGCCCTGCAAGTCGACATTGCCAGCGGCATTTAAGGGAAAAGAATCACCCACATCCGGACCGCGAACTTGAACCTCTCCGCCGACAAGAGAGGAAGGAGGAGGTGACGATGATGTGACGCCATCTTGATGAAGCAATTTTTTCGTCATCGACGGCGGAAATGGAATTTGAGAGCCGGGATGTGCAGGGCGATGAAGCTTAGATGACGCCCCGTTACTGCCGCCGTTAGGGTTCCTCCCGTTAAGGCTAATGCTTACGACACCGCCGTAACCGTTGCCACTCCCAAGTTTACCTGGCCCATTACCAGCGGGGGAGACCGCCCCAGCACTCAGCGACACCCGCTTGGATGCCGACGCTACGGTGGGTCTGGTCAGCGAGGAGGATGACCCCAGAGAACGAGCCGAATGCGCCCGGGGTGTCGAGGACGACGACAGCGGACTGCTGGACGCGCCTGTTACGGCAACCTTGGGAATCTTCAGTGGCGATGAAGACAAACCGTTGTTGCTCTGCTCCTGATTATGGCCGTTAACAAGCGTACCAGGCAAGGAAAGACAAGCAGCACCTCCATTCCTATTGGAAGATTTTCCCGAGAGCAATGGCAGCGCAGCGGCACTGGAAACAGCCTTGCATCGACGACTCGGCATGCCCAAGGTCGTTGTTACCACGACCACAGAGTCAGATTCGTAGTCTCCTGAATTCCCAGAACTTCCTCCTCCGCTTCCCCTCCCCTCCCCTCCGGTTCTTTCTGCTGATAATATCAGCCGGCCTGAATCTCCCCATCTGCCCCTTTGACGAGGTAAGGGAGACGATCGATCGAATCTCAATCCTCCCCCTGGCAATACGCCGCCGCCGGCTTTGATCTCGCCGCCACGAGATGGCCTCGAGGCGCGGAACTTTGATGACGCTGTCAGCTTGCCCTTTCCAGAGGCCCCGCTGTCGATCCCTGACGTAGAAGCCCTGCGCCTCCTCCCTCCAGTCGCGCCGCATTGCGTGTCCGACAAACAACCGCCGTTGGCACCCAATTTCTGCTTGGTAGCAGAAGAATAACATCGACGTAGCCGACGATCGAGCGCCGTCGGAGAGGACGAGGAAGACGACGAAGTGTTGCTGTCTCGCTGCTGCCCAAGGGATTGAACTAATCGATCCAGCTGTTCCTCCACCCTCCGGCTCGCTGCTAATGATGATGCCTTCGCATCCTCTGCACCATGGGAGCGCAGACCAGATGGTGGAGGGAGTTGCGGTCCACGTTCCGCCACTTTTTCACCCAGCGCCCTCCCTACCTTCGCCGTGGATGTCTTCAAGGTCAAGCCCACCTGTCGAGAAAACTCCAATCGTTCATCCGTTGTGGCATTATCCCATATCCCACGCGCACTACTAGTCGCCCAGTCCCCTCCTCTTCCGGGTGATGAGGTCGCCGACGGCCCTCTGCTTCCACTCAATGTCGGACTTCCCCCCCCCGAAACGGCGACCGACGATGATTCTGGAGATACGTTACACTTGCCCTCCAAGCCTTGACCGCCACCGATGCTACAGGGACTGTAACTACTACCCCCTGTTCCCCCTCTGGACCCCACCATCACCAAACGCGACCTCGCAACCTTGAGGGCCTCAACCACCTCCTTCCTGACGTTGAGGAAACTGTCGTTCTGGAACCCCTCGAGAACCTCTATCGCACTCGCGGCCTCGCCTTGGGCGACCAATGCGTCAGCGCGCAAGAAAATCTCGCGGAACAATCTGGCTGCCGCCAGACGATGCTGCCATGGCAGCGTCAACGTTGACAGAATCTGCCCAGCTACCTTGAGCAATGGCTTCGCGTACTGTTGGCAAATACCCGGCAGACGTTTTGCAAGCAAAGCGGCCAACTTTATGTGCGTCGCCGTGCACACTCCCTGTCGCCCCATCACCTGCGTGGTCCTCATACACACTGCATTTTTCAATCTCTCCGACCCAAGGTGCAAAACATCTCTATCCACTACTTCCTTCATACAAGTAGCCACCCCAGCTGCCACGTGCTCTTGATGATGACCCAAGGCAGCAATCAACGGCTCACAGATCACGTTGATTACTTCCGACGACCCTTCTGGATCGTCTAGGGTTGTAGCGTGACGGGCTATCTCCACAACGACCCGAGCACACACATTATGCAGATCGGAACAGCTGCCGCTCGATTGCAGAGTGTTGAGGATTCCGGCCATCATACGTGGGATATATGGCGCGATGTTCGGGCCATGAGCGCGGGCGCACTCTGCATACAACGAGACCGAGTAGAAGCGTGTAGAACTGTGGTCGCGAGAATCGGCCACGTGTTGAAGAAAGCTGGGGATAGCGTTCAAATCCATCTGCTTCATACAATCATGCAGGGAGAGAAAAAACTTATCTCGAGTATCCTCCTCCTCGAATCTCGCTAAGTTCTTCTCCTTCACGGCAGGAGATTCACTGGGGTGTCTACAGACGGTTGTGATTACGGAAGAAGAAGAACGGGAGGACGCCATATTTACACCCCTCTCTTCCTCCTTCTCGCGATCCTCTGCCTCTTCTCCTTTCCCCCTTCCAGTCCTCCCCCTACCCTTCTTCGCCTCCTTCCTTCTGTTGATTCCCGCATTCAAGTCTCCCTTTCTCCTATTACGCCTAAGCACCTCCTCCAGTGCCACCGTCCCTAGCTAGTTCAGCACCATTGTTATCCTGTACTCCTCATGTTTCCACTACTCCCCCCTTTCCCCTATTTTATTTCTTCTTCTCCTCCGACTTTACCTTCTCCACTTCACCAACCTCAAGCTCTTCTCCCTCCCCTCTATCATTGGTCCTGCACGCCGCCTGCATCTCCGCGACCGACCGCCACAACTTCGAGGATACGCAAACGCACGCGTCCCGGCCTCCCTCTTTTTAGTTCCTCTCTTCAGCCTTTCGTTCAACTTCACATCATTCGACATCAACACGTCTGCGCCTCGTTTGTACGGAACAAGCCACAAGTTACTCGTGCGATGCGAACAGCAGCAGAGAGAGGGGAAGAGAGGACGGAAGGGACGGCGAGAACACAGCGATGAGAAGATAAAAGGCAGATGGTGAACAAAGTCATTCTTCTGCTTTGCATGCGCAGAAAAAGGAGATCGCCGTGCTGTAACTAATAGATTTCATGAACGGGGTTCAACTTTTGCCCAAGGCAACGAAGATCCGTGACCCATGTAACAGTAGGACAAAACGAAATTACCAGACCGTTGAAGATAGTGAAGAGAGTCGGATTACCTCTGTCGACGGGTAACAATGACAGCGATAAATGACACGATTGGCAATAAAATGTAAATAGTCTTATTAGCATGTATGAATTTCAATCACATAATTATTGCATCAGCGAAATCGGGTATGGATCCGGCGGAAAAGGCCACCACCTCAGGAACGCGAGCATCACCTTGCGCACACAGGGTGTGGAGACCGAATCCAACAGTCCATCAACTGGTTAATAAGCCGTCAGTAGCTTATTAAGTCATCATCACTACGTAATGGATCAACCAATCAACGATCAATCGAGCGAGCTAAAGGGGATTTGCCAGCGCCGAGTAGTAATGGAGGAAAATAACGACTCGCGCAACGGTCACGCCAGCGACGATCGCGGCATACTACTCGATATCTTTCAACTTAACGAGACACACACGCACGCGCTCACACACACACACACACACACACACACACACACACACAGGTCTATCATCCATCCATCTTCTTCACACGTACCTGCTTCCTCCTTCCGGTCTTCTCCAATATTCTCTTCTCCTCCCTCCTCTTCTTTCCCTCTCGTCCACTCTCAACTTCTCTCCTCATCTGTCTCTCTTCGCCTTTTCGTATTGGCCTGCTGAGTCCTGCTCCTCTCGTAACCCGAAGCGATAGTCACGGCAGTCACTTCTGTCAGTACGAGTACATTTCCGACAGAGACTTGCGTAATAAGACAGAATCTTCGTTTCCGCCAGAAACTCTCGCAACACTGAACCTTCCCGTTTCATCAACGAACATACGCACCGTTACTCTAGTGGCACGCTTGCAGTTCTTCCATCTGCCGATTTATTAACATACAATATCCTGGCGCCTTTCATAACAATGACGTTAGTGCGTTTCGCAATCGTACATATTCAAAATTCGAGCCGCCGAAACACACGCACGAAAAAGTTGGTGGGCGTGCCAACTGAGGGCATATTCACACTAGGACCTTTTTACTTATTTGTGGACGGAATTGCGGCCAGATGCGTACACCTGTGGCCGAAATTGATATCTGATGCATTTTTGAAAGTGCTACAGTGTGAGTATGAGTATGCCCTGAGCTATTGGTAGGCCCCTCCGTATACAGCGAAGTCCCGCCCAAGGATGACACAGATACAACTGAGCCTAGCTCAGTTGGTACGGCCGTTAACTCTTGAAATACTAACCGCGGTTCGAATCTCGATTCAATCAGATGAACAGAATACAATAATTCTTTCGTTTTTCCTTTATTTTTTTGAACCTGGGGCCAGTTGGTAAGGCACGCAAGTGGCATTCAGGAGGTCTTGGGTTTTATTCCCATCGACCTCGTGTGGGCAAGCCTGGCACCCGCCACCTAGAGATAGACCTTTGATTCCCCCGAGTGGCATTGAGCAGAGACTGCTGATGTTCGTAGGGGGAGGGGACGGGAGGGTACCAGAAGGGAGGCATAGTGACTAGCCCATCAAAAAAGTTCGGCCCTGACGCTACCGGCTGACCCCTGCCCGGTATCGCCCACCTGCTGTAGCAGCTATTGCACCTGCTGGTGGGTGCAGCCCCCGCATGTTCCCTCGTTGGAGGCTTGAGCACGGATGTGGCTGCTACTGGCTGCTACAGGGTTCCCCGGATGTGGCTCCTACTGGCGGGGAACCCTGTAGCAGCCAGTGTTGGGCTTTAAATAATTGTCTACCGCGTGGGCGCGGGGAACGCAGCCCTAAGGTAGCCAAATCAATGAGACTAAGAGCTCGCACAAGAGAGAGAGAGAGAGAGAGAGAGAGAGAGAGAGAGAGAGAGTTTTGTTCCGTTTATTGTTATGAGTGTGAGAGAGAGAAAGAAAGAAAAACAGAGAGAGAGGGAGGGAGCGGGCTACCAGAGAGAGAGAGAGAGAGAGAGGGGCTGAATGCCGAAATTGAAATATGGGTCAAATTGCGGCCGCGATCTATTTCACAGTTAAAATGATTTCTTTTTTTTATTTAGTGTTTTTCCTGGAAAGATCACAACAAAATCTACAAGTACTCCAATTTTCAGGTTTTTTCACGCATTCTTCTGAGAGTGAAAACTCACTGAATTTGGAGTACTTTTTAAGTTGGCCCACACATGGCTGAGTGGCAAAAATTGAAAATGTGCCCAATCGGCGCGACGATTATTTCTCGGTCTAAATGATTTTTTAAAAATGTTCTAATATTTTTCCTAGAAAGAACACGACCTCATATATGGATTCTCAAAATTTCAGATTTTTCTGCGGTTTCCTTCGAGCACAGAAAATCGTTAAAGGTGCCTCTTGCAAAACGCCTGTTTCGTTGCGCCTGACCTCCCTGTTTTGAGAAGACGGGTCTCAATGCTTGGGCCTGAGGGCCCTTATCCCACCCCCACTTCTTTTTGGGGTCCACTTCCACCTGAGGACCGGTCCTTGTTTTTTCCAAAAGTCTCGGTCATTCCAGAGCTGTCTGTAGGTAATCCCCAATTTTGCCAAGGACCGGTCCCCCCCAAACTTTTGCCCCCTAAAAACCCACTTTGCGTCCTGGTCGCCCGCCGCCGAAAATGCGACACCTTGACGCAGACGCCGAAGCCCACTATATCGCAGCCTTAGGGCTGCGATTTTTTTTATTTTTAAACCACTAGTACCTCCACCAGTGTTGGGAAATTACGAGGTTTTGCCAGTTCCCGAAGAAATCGGGGGTGGAACATAGGGTCGACAATGTCTCATTAATCTGAGTGTTTTTTTTTATGAAAACATCATATTATTACTAAGGTCAAATCGAGGTCGGGGATCTCACAATTCAACCCGGAGTTATCCAGGCAGCTTCAACCAGTTTAGCTTACGAGTTGTAGCTCGTTGAAAAACAGCAACTCATGGGAGTCAGGAGGATACCCTAGGAACAAAAGTGACAAAATCCAGGCCGCTGTCCTGAAACCTCACTCTCCACAACAAAGTTAAGCCACGGGCCAGAGAACCTAACAAAATAAAAATTAAAAACAAGGAAAACAAAAGAAAACTATCAACCCTACCTATCTACCTTCTTCGGAACAATCGTCTAATACGACGGGTGGACCTTAGCGGACCACAGAGCCATGGAACCAATGCGTACTCCCTCCTCTCGAATACCCTGTTGTCGTCCTACTGTGGATCAACCGAACCGAGTACCAGGTTCATAGTCCCTAGCTCACTCCCACAACCACTTGTCGAAGATCAATTTCCCCTCCTCCAACGTCACCAGTTTCCCTCCCAAACCCCAGGTTGCCCCAAACCAAGATCCTTGGCCTTTCTTTCTCCAATCCGCCTGAATGATCCTCCTCAGTGAGGATTTGAATAAAGTCCTGATTTCCTTATTTGTCATTTCTCTACCCTCGAAAATCTGCAGGTTCCTCTCCTTCCACATGACGTTACAGCCCACCGCTCTGGCTGCTTGGGCCATGTAGCCCCAACCCTTCTTCAGTTCAATGTGTTATGGAATACCCCCCAGGAGTACCCAAACTTTGTCCCATGCCAAATTGCCTTCTGACTTGCTGACCCAGTAGGAATTCCACCAGTCCCAAATTTTCTTCGACGCAGGACAATCATACAACAGATGCACAGTCGCCTCATAAGCCCAGTTACATCGTTTGCATGTCAGGTCTATCTTCATTCCCCTTTGGAACAAGTTTACTGTTGATGGAGTGGCCAAAAGGGATAACAACCACAAGTTCTCTGTTAATCTGGCATATGGGGCAACCTTCAGTTGGGTCCAACAATGGACCAACTTTTTTTTCAATCTGCTCAGGACCGACATTTAACACTTGCGTCCATTTGGCTACTGCAACATATCTGGGTATTCGAGTAGAAGCTTGTGCCAAGTACCCTTGTTCAACAGAGTAACAAACCAGTGGTTTATCCTGCCTACCAGCCCCTTCCCCTCTCCAGCCACACATTTTTGGGTCCAATTTAAGGTCGGCGATTGCCAATTCTTTTGCAAACAATTTACACGTTTAATTTCCTACTTCGTCGCAGTCTTTCCAAACTCGAACTTGAGTTAGGTCGGTTGTAAATGGTGGGTGTTGTACTAGAGAAGATGAATCGGGATCGTTGTTTTCCCAACAGTGAAAGAACCTATTACCTTTAACATCAATATTTACTAGTTTTTAGAAAACCGGGACAGTTTCCAGTGGCCAGCTAATGTACCAAGTACCAAGAGGATCCATCCCCCCTGGACTGAGAATAGTTTTCCATTGTTATGAAATTGCGTCTATAAGATCGCTTAACCTCTCCTCAACAAACCAAAACGAGTCCAGCACCTCCCTTAACTCCCTCGAGAGAGATCTGCAGCAAACCACCTGCCATCAGGGTGGTGGATGTGCGGGTTTTTAAACAGTGGTTGTAGTAAGACTTCTGTTTTAGCAGTATGGAGAAGGCATGCATTTGGCATCAACTCTTTCCAAGCAGAAACAACTGCTGCCCATAAATATGATTTCACATGTCTTTTCAAGAAGGAAGGGATAAGCAAACAGGTCCACACATCAGGTGGTCTGGTAGATTTCATTCCAAGAACAGAATGGTTTCTGCCAAAGCAACCCAATGTACCTCCTCCTCTGCACTTATCGCCCTGACTATCCATCGCATTAGCATTGCTACACTCTTTCATTGTGGATCAATTAAATTCATGCTCCCTTCCTCCTTAGGGCAACACAAAAGTTCCCAAGCGACTTTAGAAAGGAAACCTTTTTCTTCTCTAGCAAAGGGCTTCCATATAAATTTAGCAGCCCGTGGTCAGATTAAGGAGCACAATTTTTTTCCCAATGGGCGAACTACTACTACAAACCACCATAAGGCAAACAAAGCCCCATTTATAACCAAAATCCGCCCATATAAGGACAGGTGAGGAACTTTTTCCCAGGTAGATACTCTCTGAATCGTACGTTGTAGCAAGATGCTTTCCTGATCCACTGTGCAAGAAAGCAGTGTTACTTGAACTCCTAAAAAGCGTTCAGAACTACCCGTGGTGATTCTCTTCATCCCCCAATTTATCACTGGTAGATGGGGGTCAGGGAGAAAAAACACTGATTTGGCCCAGTTAACCAAAGCCTCAGACCACTCTGAGTACTCATCTAAGCATTTCTTTAGTGTTGACATTGAATTAATAGAATTCTCAAAAATAGTAAACAAGTCATTCGCGAGGGCCTTCACCTTACCTTACCCAGAGCCTGCCTTGAGCCCAGTGATCTGTGGGTGGGTTCGGATATTGCATAACAGGTTCTCCATTCGGATCAGGAGTAAGAGAGGGGCAAGGGGACATCCCTGCTATAGAGACCTAATCAGTGAAAATGATTCTGATAGGTTGTCATTGGCCATCACTGCAACAGTAGACAGGGAGTATAGGGCCACCACCCAGTTACACATGTTCTCCCCAAAAATTACGTGGCGGAGGGTGGTGAGGACGTAAGTCCAATTGACACGATCGTAAGCTTTTTCTATGTCAAACATCAATACTGAGGTATTGACTTTTGTTTTTTTTCACCACCTCCAGAGCTTCCACTAATGTAAGGATGTTATCAAAAATAGATCGGCCTCGTATGAAGGCGGCTTGGTCTTGTTTAATTAAAGATGGCAGATGTCAACCCAAACAACACGCAAACAGCTTTGCTAATAATTTATATGATACGTTCAAAACTGAGATCGGACGCAAGTTCCGAATCTCAATGCGGTCTTTTTTTTTTGTACAATAGGGAAATAATCACATTCCTCATACCTTTTAACAGGTTTTTACCTACCAGAAC